ATAAGGGAAATTTTATGTCTACTTCGTGTAACAACCAAATGAAATTTTAAACCCAAACGATTGCGTCCGTCGATCACTTTGCTGAAGCGAGTCCGGGTCTACTTTTCGTAATACAGTTGAACTTCAAAGATATATCCCCTTTTACTTATTTTGTCTTTATAATTGGTCAATTTTCCATTTAATTCCAGTATTCAGATACCTTGTTACGGGGGACGATATGAATATTTATTGTGTCGCGTTGATAAAGGAGCCCTTATTCCGCATTGTGATGATATATCGTGACATAGTAGGCTGTTTTATCTAAACTTAGTCCCCGAATGTTACAACAATGCATTCTATTAATTTAACCCCCACCAGCACGATATTCGTGCTGATAAACAAGGCCCTCTTCGTGTTATGATATAGTAAATGCTCCCCGTTTATTGGGAGGCAGTTGCAAATACTTATAAACTGCAAAATTTCCCTCGGCCAAAGAAAATAGTCTGAATAGTATTTTAGGAAGGTACAGAGCATAGGCAACCAACAATACACGATTGCCGCTATCGACTAAAAATCCCTAAACCGTAGTGCAGTGGTTGAAGGGGTTACGAATGTAATTAAATAAAATTAAAATTAAAACTAGTAATATCATCTGAATGTGTTACTAAAATATGTTTTAATGTCAACAGACTTTCAATGCTGGAAAACTTTCTTAAAGGTCAGCGCGGCTTATATTTTGAAAATTGTTTTCCGTCGTGTTATGGAATTTAGAAAAATCGGTAATCCTGTTGTAGACAGCACGGACGGGGTCGAAATGGTCGGAAATATCCTACGCCCAAAGGGTTCTTGGGCATTCTTCACATTCCTTTCGTTATTATCCGGCTTGCAAATTTACCAAATTCGAGTCCACTGCTACCTGATACCTAGAGTTCACTCTATAATCACCTTATTCTTCGCCAAATCCAACTGTAACTCTATTATGAATTTATTATTCAAAAATGGGCCCAATATGTTTATGCTTTTTCTGTGTTTGTCAAAACACTCACTTTAGGAGAATGCAGGGAGATTACAAAATTTTGAAATGATAAAATCTCTATACAGGGTGGTCACTAGTAAAGGGCCCTCTTTAAGACATTTCGAATTGAAAGGCCTAAAGACGGCTAAAGTGCTAAAATCAGAAAAAATTTCTTCCCGAGAAATGATGAAAATTTTGGCATTTATTTCTGCTACACTTTGTATAAGTGAGAAATAAATTCTAATTTCGAGACGACTTTCGGGAGAAGATACGACAAAATGTCATTAAGAAAGTTTTTCGTATTGAAATTCAAGTCAACAGGGTGATTCACTATATTTTGACCCCCCCCCCCCTCCCATTCCCCGCCTTTTTGTTTGGACTTCATTAATTTTTCTACTATCATTTATCACAAAAAATCGAGCAACTTTTGTATTTCACATTTTTTTATAACTCTTAAAACAATAAAGTTAATGGGGGTGAGGGGGGGGGGTGTTATCAATTGTCAAAATATAGTGAATCACCCTGTACTTAGCTTTTATTATTTACGACACTGTACTAATGTATAAGATCAGATTCAGTGACGCCCTGTGTGAACAAAGTATTTTCGGTTTTTGAAACTATGCTCGTAGAATTCGTTTCTCCTTTTGATGTTTTTTTTTTTATGGAGGATGCCTTACTTAAAGTAGTATGAAATGCTAGGAAACCGGGGGTAGTTTGAAGGTGGAGCCATTCGAAAGTTTAGAGAAAAGTTGGAAAGTGGGACGCGAGAGTGTAGACTACCGTCCGCGTCCGGCCGAAGACGGAGTCGCCATTGGGCCGGGTACGTCCTCTAACAGGGTATCGCGCAACTAACTTCACAGATGCGGTTTAAACAACAAGGCTGATAACCATTCAAGCCGCCGCGCTGTATCGCCAGCATTCACCCTTGTCGCCCCGTCATTCACGGAAAATGTCACTTCTGGTACAGTAAATCGCAAAATCATTCAACTGAGTAGTCTGCGAAAAGCTCTGGTTATACAGTCTCGTTAAGCGTTTGTCATGCCTCAACGAGAAGCCGAATTTCGAGCTGCCAACCGCTCCTACTTCGCTCCTGTTCCTGTCTCCTGCTTTGTTGCCGCCACCCGCCTACCGCTCCTGACTACCGCCGGCAGCCAACAACGCAACCGTCAGCTAGACGTCGGCGACGGCGATACCGAATTGCCGTCCCCATTGTTTTCGTTATAAATGCATCATTTTTTACCCGGTGCCCAACCTCCACGGGACACACCGCTGTGAAATTAGCGCCAATTTCACGCTCCCCCACGCCGAAAGAAGTGGAACAAATTCAGTTTTAATTTGCAATTGACACGTGCCCTTAAATTGATAATGTATCAAACGGACCAGCCCGGCTTAAAGCCCTCCTATTCATTTGTTACCGGATTCATTTGTTAAGTAATTTTTAATATTGATTGCGAGTGTTACAATATTTTTACTAATGTTTCGATTGTAATCGACACAAAAATTGCAAAAATCATATCATTAATTATAACGAAATGAAGTTTTACGTCACCCATAAACAACGTGTTCCGGTTTATAAATGTAATTAATGTAATTTTCTTGTAATTTTACACGTACTTCAATTATATATGTTTACAATTGCCGTGTATACATACAATTATGGTTTTACTGCACCTTATTTTCAATAATTATTTGATAAATTACGTTTTTCTGTAAGCGTATTGTAATTTCTTTGTAATTTTACACTTAGTCTATGTTTTATACCCCTGAATGAGGCGTTAGTCCACGGAATTGTCGTTTCATATCATTAGTTAAAGTTTTTACATGAGTAGAAATGTTTTAAATATAAATTAATGTAATATTACATTTATGTTACGTTACATATAATTTCAGAGAAATACGTTAAATTTACAGAAACACGTATATTCACAAAACTTTAGCTTTTCCAAATGACACACTCAAAATGATGTAACAATATAGTATAACTACAGTTCTATGTATAAACTAGAGTTGAATAGAAATAGTAAAATTACATTAAATTTGCAGAAAAATGTAAACTATTTAAAATAATGTAATTTTATAGCTAAAATGTAATTGAATCAGTGCAAAATTGCAGAGAAATTACTTTAAACTTACAGAAACACATATATCCACAAAAATTTGGCAAATTTGTGAAATGATGTAATTTTACAATAAAACTACAATTCTATGAAAATTACATTAAACTCACAGAGAAATGGAAATTCGCAATACTTCGGCAAATTTACTGAGGAACTACTCAAACTAATGTAAATTTATAGTTAAACTGCAATTGTATCTGAAGAAATTACATTCACATAATTCGGGTATATTCACAAAATTTTGGCAAACGTGTCAAACTCAAAATGATATATTTATGCAGAAAAAACTCGATTGTATAAACTGCAGTGTAAGTATAAAGAAGTGTAAAATTACAAGAAAATACATAAACAGGAGTAAAATTACATTACATTCAGAAAAATAGTAGATTCACAAAACTTTATTTGTGAATGTACATGTAAGACAAAAAGTTAAAATATCAAGATATAGACAAAAAGATTTGCTATAGAGACGGTTTCTTGATTTTTACATGAATTTTACTAACGTTGTGGCACCTACAAACTTATTAAATTATCGTAGTTGATGTAACAACGAAGATAAAACTTCCGAGGTAATAATTCTATGTATAATCCGCAATACTCTGTATATTTATTGATTAAAAGATATCGGAACAGTGTAGCTTAAGAATGATAAATTGATTACTAGTATTCAATACACTTCCTAAATTAAATTTCTTGAAGCAGAGCGAGTTTCATTAAAAACGTCCCATTTTCTGAACGTTATTCCAAACGACATAAAAATTACAAAATCGTTATATTTCAAGAAATGAAGAGGTTTTTTTTGTAGTAAGAGCTAATTTAACAAAATACGTATATGTTCCGATTTATGGTTGTACTTGTAAGTCTCTTGTATAAGTAAAAAAGAAACATAGCTGTACAATTATTTTGACTAATTTTTAGCAAGTTTTACGAATATACATACATATTTCTGTAAATTAATGTAATTTTACCGTACATATTCAATTGTATTTTATAATTAAAATCAATAGGATGTAATTGTGGTTTACAATTACATCCTTTTGAGTAATCATTTAGTAAATTTCACAGTTTTGTGAATATTATTCTTTTTCTAAATGTAATTTACGTGTTACTGATTCAGTAATACAAACAATTGTAATTTAGACAGACAATATTGTAGTTTTACTATAAAATTACATAGTCTTGGATAATTGCTTAGTAAATTTGACAGTCTACCTCAGATGTGAAATTTCATTCGAAAAAACTTCGTATTTTAATTAAAATTCCACAATATATATTGCCGAAGCAAGTATTCCATTTCAATTGTAATTTTACGGGTGACTAAAATCTGTTAAGCTACGTTCTCGTCCTTTATTGTGAATTTAGAGCCCGCGATGAAAAAAATTGGAAATATTTTTTGTTCTATTCGAGAATATGAACGCACCAGTGGCGTATCACTTTTTTAAACTTATCTCTTGCGCTTACACGAACTTTCCGTTCCATTTTTGACAAAAGAGAGAGAGAGAGAGAGAGAGAGACAAGGCCGCCGCGTAACTAGAAAATAGAATTTCACCCATATCCGTTCTCCGGATCTTCAGCCGGTCGTGCAGATGGGGGCGGGGAGAGGTTGCAGCCACCAGCCGTCGGTCTATAACACCACCACCTGTGAAGTTCCCTCTAAGCGCGACGAGTTAAATATTTAATAAGTGGCATTCCAATGTAAATCAGTCTCATTTACAGAATGTGACATTTTGGAGTATTTGAATTCTTATGTTGCTCCGCGACGACGATTCCGTACACCGAACACGTCGCCGGCTCGCTCTCCCGGCAGCAGATTATACCCGTGAATATCTTCAGTTCACTTCACTTATCTAGTTGGCAAGTCTATGCAGTTATCTTTCGTTTTGTTACAGGTCAAATACCCAAGCCGGAACCGCAGTTCCTGGCCCTCCTGGAGAACCACAAGGTCACGCAAGGTCGGGACGTCAGCTTCACATGCGGCGTTAAGCATCTGGGCACCTACAAGGTAAATCCTGTACAATAAATCTTGCTAGATATAACCGGTTTTAGGTGAACGCTGTCACCTCATGCTTATTACTGTGACATTTTGTACAGGAATTAATTGTAATGTTCAGGGGGACCCCCCTTCAAAAATCTACCGCAGGATGGTGCTGCTATTAATATTCCTTACGTGTAGGACACGGCCCTCCTCTTGATACAGGAAATAGGATTAGCTATGTCACTACTTTATCCTTTTACGCCATTTCGCATCCTGCGTAACGCCCCGGCTTAATTAATACTTAACATACACGTCTCAAACGTCTCAGAAACGTTTTGCCCTTTCCTTCATTAAGAGACAAGTCGATATAAAGGGCGCTAATTGATTTTTCACGCACTAAAAGACGGCTAGTTAAATTTACGACATATATTGACGAAAGCATAAGACTTCTACGTGGGCGTGGGCAATACTGATGAGAACTAATAAGTTTGAAACCGACCTGTTTCCTAGATATTGTGGGTGTAATTCAATACTGGACATTAAACTTTTACTCACGTTCTGGAAATATTAAAATATACACTGATGTTAAAGGTTAAAGTGTAATTCACAATAAATATACATTTTTCCGTAAGTAATGAAATTTTCCTAGAATTTTACACTTATTCAGTTACGCATACAAATATAGTTTTACTGTAAAACTGCGTTATTTCAGTAATTATTTGGTAAATTTAATGTAATTTACATTTAAGTTTACATTTATGCAGTTATACATACAATTACAGCCTTACTGTAAAATTACATCATTGTGATGGTAAAATCAATGTTACGAGAATACATTTTTCTGCACGTTTACTGCAAAGTCTGTGTAATTTTACACTTAATCGGTAACAGTTTTCCTATAAAATTGCATATCATTTTGAATAGTTAAAAAATAAGTATGTTCAACTTTTTCGGTAATGTAATTTCCCTGTAATTTTACACTGATTCAGTTATAGGCACATACAACTGCTTTTTATTAAGACACTACGTTAATTTGATTTGTGGATTTTCCAGTTTTATAAACGTACATTTTAATGTAATTTTCTTGCAATTTTACACTTACAAAATACATATTTATATTTTACACATATAATTACTGCACAGTTACAGCATTTTGAATAGTTGTTGATAAATTTGTCAATATACGTTTTTCTGTAAATTTAATGTAATTTCTCTATAATTTTACACATATTCGATTACACATACAATTTTAATTTAAACATATAATTGTAGTCTTACCATAAAATTACATCATTTTGAGTAGTCATTTGGTAAATTTGTCAAAGTTTTTTATGGATATACATTTTTCTGTAAGTTTAATGTAATTTTACCAGTACATTGAATCAACTATACAAACAAATGTAACTTATACATGCAGTTGTGGTTTTATTATAAAATTACATCATTTTGGGTAATTCAGTAACTTTGCCAATGTTATAATTTCAGTTTTTTGAATTATAATGCAATTGCATTTTATCGTAAAACTACATAATTTTGATAATTTGGTAAACTTGCCAGTTTCTGAAAATTTAATATAGTTTTCTTGCAGTTTTACTCAGCCTTATTGTAAAATTACATCATTGTGCTAGTAAATTTATCAATGCTATGAGAATACATTTTTCTGCACGTTTACTGCAAAGTCTGTGTAATTTTACACTTAATCGGTTACGCATTGCACTTTTACAACAAAATTGCTTATCACTTTGAATAGTTAAATGATAAGTATGTTCAACTTCTTCGATAATGTAATTTCCCTGTAATTTTACACTTATCGGTTATATGCACATACAACTGTTTTTTATTAAGACTAATCTACGTTAATTTGATTGGTATATTGCCCAGTTTTAAACGTACATTTTAATGTAATTTTCTTGCAATTTTACACTTATTGAAATTACATATTCATATTTTACACATATAATTGCGGTTTTATTGCACAGTTACAGGATTTTGAGTAGTTGTTGATAAATTTGTCAAAGATTGATCAATATACGTTTTTCTGCAAATTTAATGTAATTTCTCTATAATTTTACACGTATATTATACATACAATTGTAGTTTATATCCGATTGTGTATCGCAAACGTATTTTCTACAAGAAAGATGTACGGTTTTAAAATAAGGCGTAGCATTTTTATTGGATTGCAGCTGTTAAGGTTTGTTGATGTTCCAGTCCGTCTGGCTTCGGGTGAAATTTAACTTCACCGTTTGTATTATCCACAGAGGCAATGAATCTTGTGCGAAAAATAAGTTCCAAGCAATATTAATAGCTGTTGAGAACACTACTCGCCGTAAAATCTATCAGTACATTCTGAAAAATATGTAGGTATTTGCCTCAATAACTCTCAGTTAGGAAGGTAAAAATTGTAACCGGAGGCGATTTTTCTTTCCTATACGTATTGATTGCCGCGGATTTCCTTCTTTCCGTTGTAAATATCGTTACTTTCGGACACTTACCCAGAATTTTCTAATTTAAATGATTGTCCGAGCCGAACTGATTACTCCTCGAAAAATTGAGGGTATAAATCTTTATTTTTGGACGGGTTGCGTTTGTGTTTTATATCTGCGATAAGATAGAAGGGGGGTGGCGGAAACAATCAAAATATTTTACTGTCTGTCCTAATTTTGAGGCTTATTGTCGACAGAGGGCCCCGACTAGATTCGAGGTGATAGGAAAGAGTTAAATGAGTTTATACAGCCGTAAGAATTTTATATAATCCCATTTTATTTGTCAAAAACCGCTCACTCGGATCCTATAGGTATAGCCACTGATTTTATTAGGAAGAGAGTTGGATCAAAGAACTACAAACTCAATAAACGTTTGCTGCACGTTTGATTGGGTATTTTTATGTTACCTCCGGGTAGATCTTACAATGCAATCAACGCGTATAGGAGCCATCGATGGAAGTGGAAACTATGATGAAATCATTCCATAAATTTTTCCCTATAGAAGCAGCCTCCTTTCTAAATTGAAAAGATAATTTTGTCACCGACTCGAATTGAAAGTGAGAGTGAGACACTTCGAACGCCTAATGCATTAAAGTCTAACTGGGGAGTATTTTATTACTAGAATTTTACTTTCCGTTTACTGAATTTTTATACAGATTATGGACCGGCAATATTTCCTGCCCCTGTCACTTTATATTTCCGGTTAGCTGCTTATTAATTTATGCTAATTTAACTCTATTACTTTGCTCTACTTAAAAAAGGGGATTTTACAGTGCGCCAACTGAAACTGCCGCTTATTTCTTCAATTACTACCGAAATTATTCATCGACCTCCTACCGGGAGTTCGGAACTACACGGAGAAAAAATTTATTAAAAATGTACACAATTATAACACTACCGACCAACGAATTGCTTTTAATGTCGTTGAATATACCGACTGTCTATTTAGCTGCAGGATTTACACAATTTTGTTAAATAAATACTACCATACCCGTATGTTTTTGGGATCGCTGAATCCGAATCCAGTATCCGTTTGACGAAGTTAATTCGTGTTCAAGGCTATTTGAACTCTTGTTGTTTATAGTATCAAAAATTTTGTCACCGGATTCTGAAAGAGCGAGAAATTTTACGTTGGGTTATTTTTTCGCTTTCAAGGTCATTTGAAGGTCAGTCAACCCCCCCTCCCCTCCTTGGTAACTCGTCAGGATAGCGAAGCGACCTTTGCAAAAGTTGTTTGGGTCATTGAGGACCACCATCTGGTGAGCTTGGACTCGACCTTGTAAGCCATGTTCAAGGTCAACTCTAGCAGTATTTAAAATATCCTCGCTGTAACACCAGCTGCGCTAAGGTCCTAACATGAGAATACGTAAGATCATATTCTCGAATATAAAACTTATCGTTGCCATTTTTATGCTCATCCGATTTTAGTGATTTTTATCATAACGACCTTCAAATGAAATCCAAGGTCACCGAGTGTTGGTCGCCGATGGTCCAAACAACTTACATAGAGGTTGTTATGCTGATATTTCGCGATTCTGATGAGATACCAATCTGAGAAGGGAATATGACCTTCAAATGAACTTCAAAATCAAAAAATAATTCGATCACGTCTACGAGCGTCAAATTTTTCACTCTCTTAGAATCCGGGGGTCGGAAATTGTATTACCTTAAAAAAAATGACCTTAAAAACAAATCAACCACGAATCTGAACGCAAAATTGCTCGCTCTTTCAGAAACGGGGGCCAAAAATTGTATTACCATCAAAATAAAAGAGTTGACCTTGAAATAACCTTGATCGAGACCTTAAAAATTAAACAACCACGTCTCCGAACGTTAAAAGTTTCGCTGTTTTAGAATCCGGGGTTAGAAATTGTATTACTTAAAAAAATATAAGAATTGACCTTCAAATAACCTTGCCATGACCTTAAAAAGTAAATTAACCACGTGTCTGAACGCAAAATTGCTCGCTCTTTCAGAAACGGGGGACAAAATTTGTATTACCATCAAAATACAAGAGTTGACCTTCAAATAACTTTCAACATGAGCTAACTTCGTCAAACGGTGTAGACTCAAAATTTCCCCACAAACTAAAATTGTGCGATTTTAAGCAATAACAAAATAACACGACGCGCGACTAATTCATTTGTCGGTCAGTCTTCAACTAGATGTAAGTATAAAACGCATTCCACTTGCAAGCGTATGGGCTTTTAACTGGCTCTTTTTGGAGCACTTGCATCCTGCCTAATGATAAATTATGGTCAACACTACAAGTTTGATAAAATATCAGCCCATTTAACACTATGTGGTCTAATTATATTAAGCAAAGGACCCCACAAAAAGCCCTCATTCTGACCCTTCGAGCTCTCCGTAACATAGCTGAAGTTCTGGGCGATACACCCGAGTAAAAAATGAACTGATTTTAAGTGTACATTTATTGGATGGAAAAAATAAGAAATTGATTTCACTTTTTTTTATTATTATTGCCTATGCTCGCTTTGTCGCTGTGAATTGTATCGGTCGCATTTGTGTTTGTGGCAATTAAAAATTGCGCCGAGCAATTGCCGCAAATTATTATTATGTGAACGAGGCGGCGGAGTGAATAACGCTTTTTCTTTAAATTTCAGGTCGCCTGGATAAAGTCCGACACGAAAGCCATTCTGGCAATACATACTCATCTGGTTGCTCAGAATCCCCGTCTCTCTGTAACACACAATGGACACGACACGTGGAAACTACACGTATCTAACGTACAAAAGAACGATTCGGGCACATATATGTGTCAGATAAACACCGACCCTATGCGGAGTCAGGTAAACGATATAAAAGAACATTTATATATGACTGAAAAAGCCGAAATATATAGGAAAACGGCTAAACATAATTTTCTACGTATATGAACCGTATTACATTCTTCCAAATTATTTTCTCCGTATTGTTAAAGCTGTAGGGAATGCCTCCGGTTAGAAAATACATTATTTATTGCCCGTGCGCTCCCCGTTGCGGTACATACAGGGCGACTCACACGATCGGTCCGTTATGTGTTCTTTTCCCATCTGTTTATCAATTCGAGTCTGGCGAATTATTCAGTTTTCAAGAGTCTCAATTAAATATGGGCTCATTCAGTAATGTAATTTATTTCCTGCGATACTTTTCGATTAATATTTGCCTAGATCCCCTATGCTTCTAGGCAGTTGATGTTCTTTAAATCAACTCAAACTCTTCCCCGCTAGGGATCGCATTGCCCGTCCCGATAAACAAATGAATTTATGATTATTACATGAATCTTTTATGTATATTTGATGAAAAATTGTATTTTTTTTGCGTCAAAAAACATTGGCGCCTTCGCCATTTTATAGAAAAACGTGGAATGTTTGCAATATTTTCCGAAAATTCTGATAAAATTCTCCAAGACCAATTCGATAGCATGAGGTTCGAAAATATCATTTCAGACGAACCGGCTCTTTTACCGACTTTTATTCGCTTTGTTTAATTTTTACTCATGTTCTGAATATCTGGAAAAATAAAAATTTATTTATTTGATCAATTCAAGAGCATATATTCTGAAAATGAATTTTCGCGACTTTCTCATCGACTTTTATTCGTTTAATATAATTTTTACTAATCTGCTGAATAACTAGAAACATTACAATTTTTTTTCAGTTACTGAAAGTTCTGAAAAAAGCTGTTCACGACAAATTTGCGGATGTAGATTTCGAAAATGTAAGATCTCGGAAAGTAAACAAAATCGGGACATAAAATAATTATTTCCTATGCCAACTTGCGTTTATCTGGCAATTTCGGTTTTCAAAATTAAAGAAACACACGGCCATCACCAAAATTGAAGGAGGAGAGGTAATTTTTATCCATACCTCTTTATATCCTTGTTAGTGTCAGATGAACCGGTGGTGATTTGAATAAAATTTAATTAATCGATAATTTGAGAAGAAAAAAATTGTTTATGTGATTACCTAGCTCTGTTGTGTAAAAGTGCAGACAAGTTTTATCGAATTTATGATTATTGCTTGGATCTTTTATGTATATTTGATGAAAAAATTGTATATTTCTTTTTGGCGTGAAAAACATTGGCACCTTCGCCATTTTATAGAAAAAGGCAAATGTTCGCAAAAAATTATTTGAAAATTCTGATAAAATTCTCAAAGTTCAATTCGACAGCATGGCGTTCGAAAATGTCATTTCAGAAGAACCAGCTCTTTTACCGACTTTTATTCGTTGTTTAATTTTTACTCATGTTCTGAATATCTGGAAAAATAAAAATTTATTTATTTGAGCAATTCAAGAGCATATATTCTGAAAATGAATTGCAATGAATTTTCGCGACTTTCTCTTCGACTTTTATTCGTTTAGTTTAATTTTTACCAATTTGCTGAATAACTAGAAAAATTAAAATTTTTTTCAGCTACTGAAAATTCTGAATAAAGCTGATTCTGATTCAAGACTTTACGGATGTAGATTTCGAAAATGTAATGGATTTTGAATTGCACGACTGTAATTTTTTCCATGAATTTTCCCCAAAATCTGGGATAGTAAACAAAATCAGGACAATCCAAGGTCATTTTCAAGTTTCTTGTAACCGGTTTTTTGAAATGTTAAATTCGGAAAAGTAATTTTGCGACACTTCCCTCGTGTTCGTTTTATTTCATTTTTACTGATCTTTTGAATTGCTGCGATATTTTTCGATGAATTTTTGCCTAAATCTCCATTAATTCTAGGCGTATTGCCCGTCATGATAAAGGAACTGCGTGGTAAAGTCGGCATCTATAAAATCATTATTTTTTATGTTGACGCGTTTTTTGAAAAAAATTTAAAAAAGAAATTTCGAATTTTCAAAATGTTGTACAGTCTCAAATAAAGTATCTAGATACTTGAAAAATTGTTCACATAGAAAAGACCGCTCAATCTTTCAAATGGTTTTTGAAAAATTGAAATCGGTTGATTAGGACGGCCACAGTAAATATTTAAAGTTAACACTCTTTTTTTTATTTTTAAATAATTATATTGCATTTATCAATTTGCAACTTGGTTTTATTTTCAAAGTTTATTATTTATGCATCAAATATACTGGATATTTTACCCTATGCTATTGCATTTTTCAATGAAAAAATTTGTTTACGTGTATATTTCAACACTGAATATGAATATATTTAGTCGTAATTATTACAATTATTTAAATAATTTTTGTTTAAACAAATTAAAAAAATATTATTTGGAAATAAATTTTTTTGTTGAATACAGATAAAATTAAGAAAAAATAGCACTTTAAAATTATAATTTTTGAAAAAAACTAAATTGCAAATTGATAAATGTAATCTGATTGTTTAAAAATTAAAAAAAGTGTTAATTTTAAAAATTTACTGTGGCCGTCCTAATCAACCGATTTCAATTTTTCAAATATCATTTGAAAGGTTGAACGGTCTTTTCTGTGTGGAAAAATTTTCAGATGCTTTTTTTTTCAAAATATTTTTCAAAAAATTATTTTGCGAAAACTATAGCACCGATTTTAATGAAATTTGGTGTGTTGTTTTATTATACTCTAAAGTTATTTTCGCCAAAATTAGAATGCCCTCGTAGCAATCAAAATATTTTTAAAAAATTATCCTTATTATTTTGCCTTTTTTTTCATCAATTATTGCTATTTTGCAACATCGGTAATAAATTTAAACATTTTTAACTTTCAGTATATTGTGTAAAATTTAATTCTAAAACTTTTATTCCTCTCCAATATTTTTCCAAAATGCATAGGTTCCAAGATATAAGTAAAAAACTAGGTATTTTTTTAAATTTTTTTAACATTTTTACAATTTTGAAAATAATCCAGAAAAAAATTGCTTGCCCCCTCTCACATCCAACTCAAAACAGATGCACCCTAGTCTATAACGCATTTATGATTATTACATGAATCTTTATGCATATTTGATGAAAAAATTGTATATTTTTTTGGCGTCAAAAACATTGGCGCATTCGCCATTTTATAGAAAACAGTCCGCAAAAAATTATATGAAAATTCTGATTAAATTCTCATCGTCCAATTCGACAGCATGAGGCTCGAAAATGTCATTCTAGAATAATCGGCTCTTTCACTGACTTATTCATTTCGTTTATAATTTTTTACTACCCTTCTGAGTCGCTGGAAACATATGCAAATCTATTTGGTTTGTGAAAATTGACTTTTGATTTGTTTTGTTTAAGTTTTACTCATGTTTTCGCGGCTCTCATCGACGTTTATTCGTTTCATTTAATTTTGACTAATTTTCTGAATAACTGGATTTAAATTTAAAAGTAGTTAAGGATAGAAAGCGGTTACACTCGCACTAAAATAAAATAATTCATAAAAGAGTTTAATCAAAATTAACAGCGTACGGTTCCGTTTCTCCAAGTAACTTCTGGGAATCGCTATATTTTTTTATTGTACCATTTTGTTTTATTTCCTTTAAATGTGTCTTTTAATACCGTTTGCGTCTCGTAAACTTCTACCGTTGTGTCATCGTTCCCTAATGAAACAAAGTCGGCAAAACTGTTGATATGCGCTGATATTTTAAAATGTAAGCGTTCTCTTACTCCCTCCGTTGTTTTTTCGTGGGCGCCTCATAAAGTTTCGAACGCCTCCACCTAGATATGTATTTTTCCTTTTACGGGAAGGATTATATTATAACTTTTAGTTGGTAGGAAAAAAGTTGACGTTTAAAGAGGGCGCCCCGCTTCGCATTTCATGTTAATTTTTAAACGTTTAAATAAGCGCTTCTGTGCAACAAAAAAGATTTGCTAATTTTCGCGTTAAAAGTTGGTGTAATGCTGTCACGCGTTAAATTAACCGAAAAAATGTTTTTTTTTTTTACTGAATTCGATCGAATTGCCTGGATACTATTAGAAAGTTAGTTAAAAAATATTAACTTACACGCAGTCCAGTTGGAAAGACGCTTGAAAACTGAATAACAATCCCCGTGCGTTTCCCCGTATATGGGCTTTTATTACTTAAGGCCCTGTGGGGGGATTAAAATCTTACGAATTGCGGCTTTGCAGATGGGCCATTTGGAAGTAGTTATTTCGCCCGACATATTGCCAGACAACGAGTCCTCAGAAGGCATGGCAGTCGAGGGGGGCACAATCCGGCTCAAGTGTAAAGCCACTGGAGTGCCGGAGCCGACAGTACTTTGGAGGAGAGAGGATGGTAATAATATCATCTTGAGGCCCGATGGCGGCAGGGAGCGGCAAGGTATTTACTTTTTAACATATTGACTCCCTAAGTGCATATTCATGTCGAAGTTTTTGCCGCCTTTAAACCGAAAAATTAATACACCGCTGACTCGTGTTAAGGATCTTAACAAAAAATTACGTTGAGGAAGTATTTATCGTATTAAATACAATTTGTAGTAAACCCTCCAAAAAAATCGAGGGAGCAGGAAAATTTACAAGTTTTTTTAGTGATTTTTCAAAGGTTGTAACTTTTTGTTCCCTTAATTTTTTTGCTGAGTGTATTCTAAGAAAATTACGATAATATATTAAATTTCCAACGAAAAAATAGTTATGTATAAGACCTTCCTCTGTCTACTCACACCGTATGCAAGCCAAGCCATTCATTCCATTGTGGCATTTTTCTCAACGGAAATTGATACGTTAAATTTCATTAAGCGACAAACGAAAAAGACTTTCGGCTTTTTGCACGTAGGATTTCGTTAGCCGCTAAAGAAAAATTGACACAAGTAAATAAATTAGATTATTGGAGGGACACAATGGAGATATGAATAAGCGAATACATTTTCTTCTCAGACTAACACTGCATATGATAATTAAAAACTGTAAATTTATTTTATTATTTAAGTGCGATTTTTTTCAAAACATTAGCGAAAATTGTGAAATCGAAGCAAAAATGTTCAAAGGCATATGTTGCACATCGAAAGTGTTCGTTCATAAAAAGATTATTTCTTATTTATCTCTTGATAAATTTTCTTCTAATGCGAAATAGTGCGATAATTAACGGCATTAGGCGTTAGTGTGGCCCCAGCATTATCGCCTAACTTCCAACGCCATTAATAATGACGATGATAAATTAGCGGTCAAGTCGTGGTAACACCTACGTTTAATTCCAGATAGTGCGACAATTAACGGCATTAGGCGTTAGTGTGGCCCCAGCATTGTCGCCTAACGTCCAACGCCATTAATAATGATAATAAATTAACGGCTAAGTCGTGATTACATCTACGTTTAATGCAAGATAGTGCGATAATTAACGGTATTAGGCGTTAGTGTAACCCCAGCATTATCCGCCTAACGTTTAACGCCATTAATAATGACGATGAGAAATTAGGGCGCTAAGTCGTGATTATACCTACGGTCAATGCGAGACAGTGCGATAATTAACGGCATTAGGCGTTAGTGTGGTCCCTGCATTATCGCCGAACGTCTAACGCCATCAATAATGACGATGATAAATTATGGCGTTAAGTCGTGGTTACACCTACGTTTAATGCAAGATAGTGCGATAATTAACGGCAGTAGGCCTTGGTGTGGCCCCAGCATTATCGCCTAACGTCTAACACCATTAATAATGACGATGATAAATTAGCGGCTAAGTCGTGGTTACACCTACGTTTAGTGCGAAATAGTGTGATAATTAACGGCATTAGGCGTTAGTGTGGTCCCAGCATTATCGCCTAACGTCTAACGTCATTAATAATGACGACGATAAATTAGCGGTTAAGTTGTAGTAACACCTACGTTTAATGCAAGATAGTGCGACAATTAACGGCATTAGGCGTTAGTGTGGCCCCAGCATTATCACCTAACTTCTAACGCCATTAATAATGACGATGATAAATTAGCGGTTAAGTCGTGGTAACACCTACGTTTAATGCAAGATAGTGCGATAATTAACGGCATTAGGCGTTAGTGTGGCCCCAGCATTATCGCCTAACTTCTAACGCCATTAATAATGACGATGATAAATTAGCGGTTAAGTCGTGGTAACATTTACGTTTAATGCAAGATAGTGCGATAATTAACGGCATTAGGCGTTAGTGTGGCCCCAGCATTACGTTTAATGCAAGATAGTGCGATAATTAACGGCATTAGACGTAAGTGTGGTTCCAGCATAAAAGTTATAAATCTATTTTTTTGTAATAGCGTTCATATAAAAATAATATTATCCAAATGTGATTTTTTTAATACAAGCTCTATGACAAACTTTGGGTTAATTTCAAACATGTTTTCTTATATGAACATAGGTCCGATTCGTTTTTGTTTAGAAGTTACAAGCATTTTAAAAAATATGATTTCATATTCCTCAATCAAAGTAGCCTGATAAAAAAATGATGATTAATATAACAATAAAAAAATACATTGGATGTCGAAATCCTTGATAAAAAATAATTATCGATTTAATTAATTCATAAATTCTCTTCTCAGGCTAACGCTAATGTGATTTTTTTCAGAATTTAGTGAAATTGCATTCGAAAGTGGAGCGAAAATGTTCAAATGCGAAGTATGGGCATATATTGCATATTGAATCGTTAAAAAAAATAATTCCTTATTTATTGCTTAATAGATTCTCTTCTCGTATTAATACTTTGCCTTAAAATTGTTGTTAAAAATTGTTCATGTATGTAAGTGATCTAAATTCCGATTCTTTTCGAAACTTCAGTGAAATTTTAATTCGAAAGTGCATCGAAAATTTCCAAAAGCGACTTATAAGTTCCAACACTTCACAAAAAATCATTTCGGGGCAAAGCGCGGACGCCCGAACGCTATTTGTTATTATTAAAGACAAATACGCATCCGGAAAGGCCGGAGAGAGGAGTCTGGCATATGGCACAACAATATATACGTATGTAAAGCGTACGGAGCATGCATGCGATATTTCAAAGTCCTCCCGGGCTCCGTTGAACGAGAGCGAGCGGTGAGGCACTAGTGCTGCCCTTTCGGCTAATCGTAATTTATATCTATCTGCATTTTTTGCATCGCAAGATCCCCGCTTGCAGACCGCGTTTAAAATATAATTTTAATTTATCACGGAGCCTAACGGAAAAGTGGGATAATGAATACACGATTCGTTGTATCCTTAAATTAACCGCTTAAGTTTGTGACAAGCTTCACGTACAGGGTGTTCGTATCGATTAAACGTTAAACGGTTTTTTGAAAACCGCGTGTGATCTTGCAAAAATCCTGTTCGATACATTCCCATACGTACGTTGTATTCGGAGCCGTTCCACCTGTACAAGTAATTCCCCCACGCCCCCGGCTTCTAAACCGTAACTATGAACCCTTGGCTGGAACTCGACGTTAAACATGCCCAGAATTCGCGGATGAGCGTTCCTCGAACAAGAATGTTGGTAGATCCATAGGCGCTCCCCTAAAAATCACACCACGGCGGTACGCAAAGGACCTGCTCCGCCAATGTTGCAGGATTACCCGATAAACTGGTGCGCGATTGAAATATATCGACATAATTAACGGAGGGCCGTTTTACGTCTATAAAAAAAATATTAAGGCTACTTTCAAAACAAAACGACAGTGACGGTTAATCAATAAACAAATACCGATGAAATTAGTAACACATGCGTACAACAATAATAATTTATTAGTTAATTACAGTCAACATAATGTTTCCATTTATTTATTAAATAACGCACGAAGATAACCAACTTTTATTGACAGGGCTCTATAGCAAATAGGCAACCAGTAATACATTTTTATAGATTTTATTACACAGTTTGTCTAAATATGAATCAATGCACAAACAACGGACTTTCCTCCATTCTAACGCAGGTTTTCTATGAAATGGACTTGGTTTGAAACTCAAATAACTTTTTGGTGTAAAGAAATTTGTAATTTACGATGCAAATTACAAATTTCTTTAAAACAAAAAGTTACTTGAGTTTCAAACTAACCCCATTTTATAGAAAATCTGCGTTAGAATGGAGGAAAGTCTGTTATTCGTGCATTGATTCATATTTAGACAAACTGTGTAATAAAATCTATAAAAATGTATTTCTGGTTGCCTATTTGGTATGGAGCTCTCTTAAATAAAACTTGGCAGATAGTAGCAAATATAGCAAAACTTGCCAGACAAGTAGTTCAGGTCGCAACAGCTGCAGTTGTCGTCCGACAGCGTCGTGACACAATATCGATCTGGCGATTTGTCATTTCGTCGGCAGTTTCCTTGCGATCGCGAATAACAGGTTATAATTCGGAAATTTGGCCCCGGGCGCCTTGACTAACAGACCTGGAAGGGCAAAGCGAGGCGAGCCGTCCTTATATTGCCGGTGGGTCGTCGGCGGCCACCACTCAACCAATTGGAAGAATAAAGACAAATGTTTAGTTGGGTTCTCAAGTGCTGCCGGATATAAATGCCACTCGCAATGGTTGTTCCGTTTGATGGAACGTGCACCCGTACTGCAGAACAATCATTTCTGAAATTAATAATCCCGCGGGGCCGTGAGCAAACGGCGAACGCCGGGCGCCGAGTGGTTGGATGGTTTGCGTTCTTGTTTTCACACGCGTCTCAATTCCGATGCACCTGCGGATCATTTTACAAATATCTTGGAGATAGTAGACGATTTGAAATTTAAATGAACCGGATTTGTCTGGCGGAACTCCCTCGCAAGAGCCACGTACTCCGGGACGATTCTTGTCAAAACTATCAAAACGGATTAAGCTGAATTTTTCATTGCACTTATTTATTAGGATCCGGATACCGAGATCTTCCGCGGTAGGGGATTTACCTTAAGGCATGCCATCTGCTTCTTATTCCATCTCGCGGATCGGTTTATGGAAAATGAATCCGTCGATTCTCCGATTCACCCCGGATACGGAAAAAAAAACACTTAGGTCCTAACCTCAACCGAACACGCAAATTGAATTTAATTCATATTAACCGTAATTTACAGCGGATTAACACGAGCGGATCTAGAAACACGTATTGACGCACGTTCAAAAGCTTCAGTAAGCTTACACGTTTATAACGTACATCCCTGTGTGAACGTATAAAATAAAACGTTTAGGATATACGCTTATCTAAGTGTGTTTAAACGTATTTAATAGTGGACTATTTGAAAGAAAAACGTCTAGTCATTTGCTTTTGTCTTATAGTCACTACGTTTATATGTACGCGTTTAATGTAAGTGTTTTTAAAATAAAAACAGACGTTTTATTATTTAATCTTTCCTTAAAAGGGTGCATTTGTGGAAAACATTTATAACACACACTTGTTTAAACGTATAGAAATAAAAACGTCTAGTGTTTTGCTTTTGTCTTATAGTCACTACGTTTACATACACGTGTTAAAATAAAAACAAACGTTCAAAAGTTTCAGTAAGCTTACACGTTTATAACGTACGGCTGTGTGAACGTATGGATCGTTTAAAATAAAACGTTTATTGTTTTTTTTGTCTTGAAGTCTCTACATTTATTGATACACGTTTATCTAAGTGTGTTGAAAGTATAACATTATTTAAGCGTTTTCATACGTTTATAACGCACACGTGTATAATAGAAATCATTACGTTTACGTATACACGTTTAAGTGTTTTTAAAATTAAAAACAGAAAAAGCACTTGAGATTCCAAGAAATATTTTCTGGAATTAATACAAATCAATAAATCAGATTAAAATATGCGGAAATGTTTAAATGTTATGGTGTTGTATTTGTATTGAAATTATTAATATCAAGAGCTTCCGGCAAATTAAATATCATGCCCCTTTTCCGAGAATATTTTGAATTTTTGGCGTTGCTATTTTAAAACTATTTCAATTACATCAAAAACCTATTTACGAGTACTACATAACATTTTAATTGCATAACGGACTAAATATGTGCTTTCCGCCTGTTTGAATTGGCAAATTAATTAGCCGGTGTGGTAGTCTCTGTTTGTATCGCTTGCAGCGGTTACAAGATGTACCGGGTGTTGCGAGAAATGGGTAGCGTGTATCTTTTAAGCTGACGGAAGATAACATTATTGTTAGTTTTCCATTTTGTAGAGTTAATAAGAAATCGTTTTGTTTTTGATAATTCATCAACCGTTAGATTTATGGCTTCGCTTTTCAAAACACCCTGTATATGTCCCTGTTAATAAATATTTATCTAAAAGTGCATGATACGATTTTTTCTTAAATTGTAAAAAAAATAAGTAAGTTAAAAAATTAATTCGGTTTTTGACACGGACTTGCAAGTTAAGATATTAATTAAATTGGAAAGGTGCGCTAAATTATTATCGTTATTAAAAAATCGCTATTCGCAATTCCCGTACCACGAAGTAAAATCATTACTCAAACATGTTTTTGGTGCGGGCAAAATTGGCTTTCCGACTTTGTGCTCATAGGAGCGTAGACAAAGTGATTTTCCGTAATGGAGTTCAATGATGGTTTTAAATCTTTATTATACCGATTAAATCCCGCATCGGGGGGGCTTAGCGTCTCGTCACTTGAAAGTCACAATACACCCCTGATACATCGGTTGTCAAAAAAAATAAAGATTAAAAACCAATGTGTAAATAATTTACCCCTTTTTACTTTTCAGTGCTGCGATCCTTCGATGGAGAAGTGCTGACGTTAATGAATGTTCAGCGTACTGATATGGGTGCCTATTTATGCATAGCGAGTAACGGAGTGCCCCCATCTGTTAGTAAACGTTTTAACGTTATAGTTCATTGTAAGTGGCTTCGGTTATTTCACATGGGCGTAGGTAAAATTTGCCGAACTTTCCGACACCGGCATAAGCAACATAATCATATTTTCATTAGAAATTTAAACATTTTTGACGAAATAAAAGAATTATTTTTTTATTATTTATATCCAGTCGATTCCACCCCAAACGGGACCTAGCCGGGATCAAGGTCACTTAGAGGTCAGATGAGAAAAAGGATCTCAGAGTTTAGGTGTTTTGGGTCGCTGAGTCCGAATCTGTATCAGGCCATTTTAGGGTTGGTTCAAGGTCATTTCAAGTTCAAATTGAGAAAAAGCCGAACAATCAAGTACGACAATATGTTATACAGAATTTTGTGGTCGCTAGGTTAAAATCCGAGGTTAGCGTATCTTTGTCAAGTCATTTGAAGGTCGCCTCAAGGTCATTTCAAGGTCAAATTGAAAAAACGAGCAATTAAGTTTAACCGTCTGTTACATAGGTTTTTGGTATGGCTGAGTTCGAATCCGAGGTCAGTTTGTCTGCATCAGGTCATTTGAGGGTTATTTCAAGGTCATTTAAAGGTCAAACCAAGAAAAAACCGAGAAATCGATTACCGTTTTTCAAGTCTCTGAGTTTGAATCCAAGGTCCAATTATATGACGATATAGTCCTCCACAACAACCTCTGTCCAGGTCATTTGAGGGTTATTTCAAGGTCATTTAAAGGTCAAACCAAGAAAAAATCGAGAAATCGATTACCGTTTTTCAAGTCTCTGAGTTTGAATCCAAGGCCCAATTATATGACGATATAGTTCTTCACAATAACCCCTGTACAGGTCATTTTTGTGTCAAATAAATTAAAGATTTGCTCATTTGCCTTAACCTTGCGTAGCTATGTTTAATCTCGAATGATTTTAAAAATCAATTTTTAGTATCAACAATTTTAGCTTCGGTCGAAAACGGAGGGGTCTGAAATGGTCTCTCGCTGACCCTACCGAAAGTCCTTTTTCTCAAATCGACCTTGGAATAACCTTGAACCTTTATTAATACATATAAATGGACCTCGGATTCGGACCCAGCGACTATAAGAACGATAATTGATTTCAGTGTTTATTCCATAAATTAACTTTCAAATGACCTTAAAATGACCTTCAAATTACCTGACACAGATAAATTGACCTCATATTTGAAAATGCGTGTATAACAGACGGTTGGATTTAATTGATTGGCTTTTTTCAACTTGACCTTGAAATGACCTTGAGACGACCTACAAATAACTTGGTACAGACAAACTGACTCGAATTCGAACTCTGCGACCCCAAAGTTCTGTATAACATGTGGTCGGACTTGACTTGCTAGGCGTTTTCTCAATTTGACCTTGAAATGACCTTGAAACAACCTTAAATGGCGTGATACAGACAAACTCCGAGATACTTTGATTTGACCTCTAATTGACCTAGATCCTGACCAGGAAGGAGGAGGGAGGTCCCGTTTGGGGTGGAATCGATTAGTTATTGGATATAAATAATAAAAGAAATGTTTTTCTTTTTTTTTGGCTAAAAACGACGGGGGCCTAATTGACCCTCCCACTTTATACATAATATTGTTAATTAATTTAATAACCGTTCATTCGTTGAATTACTTGAAAATTTTCTGATCAATTTCATTACGCCCATATTCACGGGTTTAAATTACGTTTCAAATTATGCATAAATTTCCATGGCATTTTGTCCCGTTAGGGCGAATTCAAATTTTAACTAGCACCACGATTTGTTGACGGACCACAAATAATTTTACGTACGCCTTTCTAGCTGCACGAAGTATTGGGTTCTGCGTGAAAATTTAGTTTGAAATTGCATACGGAGTGTCTAAATTCCTTATCGAAGGAATTCTTCGCCCAATCGGGTTTTCGCTACAGTTTCCAAAACCGCTGCTTGTAGTTTTCATTAAAAATATCTTCCCCTAAAACACCCTGTGTGTTAAAATTTGTGAGTTGCTAAATATAGAATATGGGAGAATATTTTAGGAACAATTAAAGAGGGAAAATGCGCGGAATTTAATGAAAATCCCTGCACCCAGTACTTTTGAGTAATACAGCAGCTTATTTAATATTTTTACGGTTTCTAACCATGACGATCCTCTTCCAGTTCACCCATTGATTAGGGTATCAAATCAGCTGGTGGCCGCCCCGATAGCCAGTGACGTACACGTACAGTGTTACGTGGAGGCTTCTCCGAAAGCCATGAACCATTGGATGCGGAACACCGGTAAGCACTTTTCCCAAGAGTCGAGCTTAACCGACATGGGCTCATATATATTGTACTATCCAGCGCAGTCCGATACCTACATTTCAAATTACTGACTGCGCCGGCCGGGAACCGGTCTTTTCAGCTACTTTAATATATCACACTAAACCTAAATCATGTTGTTTCTGCCACATAATTTAAACGTTTTAACACATACGGGGTGGTAACGAGGGTACCGCGCAGTTTCACGCTTCCCGTCCTCGTTAGCATTTATCCGTATCGGCGGGATATTCCGAGGCTCATCCTGCACCAGAAACTAATTTCACAAATTTACTGATCTTTCGATTGTATTCAGGGAAGTAGGTGAAATCTTAGAAAATGGTAAAGGTGTAATTGTAACAAATTATTGGAAATAATTTTATTACTTATTAATGATTTTTGTCTTAAAGCACCCACGAATTAAAAATTAACAGGTGTATAAAATAAAAAGTTACGCAAATTACAACTTCTAAAAATTTACTGATCTTTCTACTAGTCCTTTCGTTTCAATTTTAAAAAATTGTAGAGTGAATTGTAGTAAGTAGTAAATCATAGAAAACAAATTATTGTGAATATTCTTATTATGCAGGGTGTCCCAGAAATAAGTGTCAACATTTTAACCACATCAAAAGTAAGAACATTTGTTGAATATTATTATTTAGAAACTAAAATTCTTGTCCAATACATTGCATTAAAATTAAATTAAAATTACGCTATTAAAATAACGCTATCGAGGTGCCTATAAATTAAACAAATATTTAAGTATCGCGTGCTAATGTCTTAGAAAATGACCTACTATTTTAACAGTTTTTGCTAGCATGAATTCTAAATACTAGCATTAATTGGTTTCTATTTTAATGCATCTTTCTATTTATTATTAACTCAACTAAGCACTAGGATTTGTGCTCCAGTGGCGGGTAATACAAATTTAAAATTTACTTTTGATTTTGTTCATACAGTTCCTTTAAATTGTAAATTGTAACATCGCAATTGTAAATTGTAACAATTGTAATTGAAAATTGTAACAAGTCATAAAATAAAATGTAATACATCCCGTAATTTCTAAAAATTTACCGATCATTCGATTTTGTTTAAATAAAAAATAGTTCCTGTAATAGGTATTTTCCTAGGAAACAAGATACTTTAATTCAAATTTTAACAGTTTTTGCTAGCGTGAATTCTATATACTAGCATCAGTTAGTTTCTATGTTTAGGCTTCTTTTTGTTTATTATTAACTCAACTAAGCACTAGGATTTGTGCTCCAGTGGCGGGTTAATTTAAAATTTACTAATCTTTTGATTTTATTCAAATAAGAAAAAGTTCCTTTAAATTGTAAATTGTAACATCGTAATTGTAAATTGTAACAAGTCATAAAATGAAATGTAATACACCTCGTAATTTCTAAAAATTTACCGATCATTGGATTTAGTGTAAATAAAAAATTGTTCTTGTAATAGGTACTTTTCCAGGAAACAAGATACTTAAATTAAAATTTTAACAGTTTTTGCTAGCATGCATTCTAAATACTAGCATCAATTAGCTTCTATTTTTATGCTTCTTTTTGTTTATTAATAACTCAACTAAGCACTAGGATTTGTGCTCCAGTGGAATAAAAATTTAAAATTTTCGAAAATTTATCTCAAGAACTAAGAGGTTTTTAAAAGAAATAGTAAAACAATTGTTGTCACTTATTTTTAGGACATCCCGTATATTAATGTTTATTATCTTATTTTCCCTTACGTTAAAATAAAGTCGTAATTTCTAAAAATGTACTAATCTTTTGATTTTGTTCAAATAAGAAATAGTTCCTTTAAATTGTAACATTGTAATTGTAAATTGTAACAACTATAATTATTATAATTGTAACAGTTGTAATTGTAAATTGTAACAAGTCATAAAATAAAATGTGATACACCTCATAATTTCTAAGAAAAAGAACAGTTTTTGCTAGCGTGAATTCTAAATACTAGCAGTGTCTATTTTTACTCAACTAAGCACTAGAATTTGTGCTTCAGTGGCGGGTAATAAAAATTTACTTTTGATTTTGTTCAGAGAAGAAATAGTTTCTTTAAATTGTAAATTGTAACATCCTAATTGTAAATTGTAACATCGCAGTTGTAAATTGTAATAATTGTAATTGTATTAAACCCCTTCAATTTAAAACTGTTTGTTTTAAATCATTGCAAATGCCCATTTTTAAACTTGGTGCATGTTTCTGTTGGCACAACTTGCAGGCGAGAAGCTGATCCCGAGCGATAAGTACATCATGGAGGAGTCTGTCATAAACGAGTATTCCCTGCAAATGAATCTGACAATACTGAGTTTGGACAAGAGGGATTTCGGGGGCTACACCTGCACGTCCGTCAACGCACTCGGCAAAGCCGAGGGAGTAGTTAGATTACAAGGTAAGATTTCATAACGTAAATTAAGGTGTTTTAGTACAGGTGCGGAATAACGAAGATGACAAAGCCTAGCGCCGCTCAATTTTAATAAAATTTCATTCGAGGCCTCTTTCTCGGTTTGGCTCTTCATCGGTAAACAAGTAAAACCGAAAAATTCGCCAATAAAGGCGTATTAATATTGAGTATTTCGACAAGCATCCGTCAGTCGATTTAATCAGGGCGTAGAACTTCCATTGAAACGGCAGAACATAAAATCGGTCTTGCACGTTTTATAAGCTAATGCTCGACGCTTCCTTTTCCGATTGAAAAGGACTTAGAAATAAAAAATAAACTCAGATACGTGCCGTAAACATGGTATGTTTAAAATGTCAGGTTTATGTCAAAGGACATATTCAAAAAAATTAAAAATAAAATAATAATCACCCTATTTGCAAATTTATATATACTTTGCATGAAATCGAAATGAATTTAGTTTTCCCCGGTATTTTAACGAAGCTATTTCATAGATTTACTTGATGTATAATATCGCAGAGCCTGGGGTATTGTTAAAAAAATATTGTGTTGACTGCTGGGTGTGACAGGAGTGCTAGGCAAGCACTGATTATGTTCTTAATTCTCCCCTTTCATATATAGAACAAAGGCATTTAATTAATTTCCCTGGTTTATTCAGTTTATAGATACTTGTCTCCGAAATTTTCAAAGAGCGCCAATAGCGAACATATAATCTTCGAGTTTTAGCGGAAAAAACAAATTAAAACATTTAATTTAAAAATTGTCTCTCAGGAACAGCCCGAAGGATTTAAATGTAGCAGGGTCGATTCAATTCCATTTTATTTAACGGAATATAAAGTTCGGGGTACACACATTTGATATAAAATTTTATTTTGTTTGAGTTATTTTCAAGAAAGATTACGGGTGCCATTTTGAGTCAATAGCTAAAACCTTTCTGTTGTTACTTCTAACTTTTCCAGTGAGCCAGGCTACTGGGAATAATATCCTTTTCCTTAATCCGATTTAACTGCAATTACGGCTAACCAAGAAAGTAAAAATAAGAAAACCACCAGTGCCTTTATTACAACGATAAAAATGTATAATCTTTACCAAACCGACTAAGTAAATGTATTGCGACCGAGATAAGGCGGTTTGCGACTGTGTTTTGTTTTCGAAACTTAGACGAGTGCGAATAAATTGCATAAATTACTGTTCCGTACGTGGAAAATGCCATTAAATTTGTAAAAATTCGGAAATAAATAAATCTGCCACTGTTTCATAGTTAAATTCCGATAGAGATTTATAATCCATTATCAGAAATTCGCATTACATAAATTACTACTTCGTTTTTGCCCCACTGTTCGGGTATAAAAGCTTTTGGATCTTCGCACACACTTTTAAAATCGCTTTTATATATTTCTTTTTTTTTTCAAGCTACTAGTTTGCACTCGCACGAAAATTAACAGGAATATAAAAAATAAGGCGCGATGTATTTAAAAAAAAAATCTTTTGATTTTATTTAAATTTAATTTAAATAAATCATATTAATTTCAGGAAATTAAGTGAAAAACTGTATACTATTTTTAATCTTACTGTATGATCTTCAATCGCCCTTGTTTAAAGATTAATAAAAGTATAAAACAAAATGTAACAGGTATTTCATAATTTAAAAAAATTTACTCATCTTTTGATTTTTTCGTCTGTAAAATATTAAAAAGTAAATTGTAATAAGTCACAAAACAAAGCTATATGCACCTCAGAATTAAAAAAAATTCTATTCGGTTTTGATCAAATAAAAATAATAGTTTTCTTGGGAAAGAAAGCATGTATTGTTTTTATACAAAATGGGTATAAAATAAAAGTTACTGCTGTTCATATTTGTAAAAATTTCCTGTCTTTCGATTTCCTTCTAATAACACGGCCACTCAAAAAAAAAAGTTGTATGTACTTTTCATGCGACATATGTTATCCGTACTATTTTTGCCTCCTGATCACGAATCCGGTGTCAGAATAGAGCTATCACATCACAGGAATTTCCTAACCTCAAAAAACAGGTCAAAAATAGCGAAAATTCACGAAAAAGTGCTAGGAAACGTACAACAATTTTTTTTTCTATATCCGAATGTTTATTTATATGGTTAAGACCCCGCTGAACGTGGATCCGCGGTCAAAATTGATGCTTCTTTTTCTAACCTCAAAAAACAGGTCAATTACTATCACTAATTTTCAAAATATAACAGATTCGCGTCAAATTTGGTATACGAGGGTTTTCGGGGTCGCTGATCACGGATCCGAGGTCAATTTCGGAAAATACAAGATGGCGGATCCAAGATGGCCGACCAATTTTTCAAAAAATAACCCATTCGCGCTAAATTTGGTATACGGAGGTTTTCGAGGTCGCTGATCACGGATCCGAGGTTAATTTTGCAAAATTCAAGATGGCGGATCCAAGATGGCCGACCAAATTTGAAAAAATAACCCATTCGCGCTAAATTTGGTATGCGGGGGTTTTCGGGGTCGCTGATCACGGATCCGAGGCCAATTTTGCAAAATTCAAGTTGGCGGATCCAAGGTGGCCGACCAAATTTAAAAAAAAATAACATTCGTGTCAAATTTGGTATACGGGGGTTTTCGGGGTCGCTGATTACGAATTCGAGCTCAGAATTGCGAAATTCATTTTGTAATATTTCTGTTTACTTTATAATCTGAGTACCCAGTCATGTTTAACCTTCTTAAAGTACATAGGGAATTGATAAAATGTTTAAAATCGAATTTTGTAAATCTGATCTCGTATTCGTGATCAGCGACCCTGAAAACCCCCGTATACCAAATTTGGTGCGAATCTTATTTTTTGAAAATTCATGATATCTGACACGTTTTTTTAGGTTACAGAAAGAACCATAAATTCTGATCGCGGATTCACGTTCGGCGGAGTCTTAACCATGTAAATGAACATTTGAATATAGGAAACATTTTTTTTATATTTTTCTTAACACTTTTTCGTGAATTTTTGCTATTTTTAACCGGTTTTTTGAGGTTAGGAAATTCCTCTGATGTGATAGCTCAATTCTGACACCGGATTCGTGATCATGAGGCAAAAATACTATGGATAACATATGTCGCATGAAAAGTACAGACAATTTTTTTTTGTGTGGTTGTGCAATCGTAAAAGCAATAAATCAGTGAACGGCGAATTATTGTGAATAATTTTATTACATATTAATGTTTTTTATCTTAGAGCACCGCTAAGTTTCATTAGTAAGTCAATAAATCATTTCGGCTGACGTGATAAAATGCTCCCAAAAAATGCGACAATTATTAACTCCGGTACCACGCTGGGTGTATGACACATTTTTGCATTATATCAATCTATTCATATAAAATCGGTAAACTCTACCTGGGAAATTTGCATTCATAAATTCAGGAAGGGCGGTAAATTAGCGTTATATAAATGAATTTGTTTGCCATTCATCTTGCCGGGCGAGCATAATTTTTTATACAGTAGCATAAATTATATTAGTTGCACGTTCATCAGTCAAAAAACGATACGTCAAGCCCCGTCCAACTAGAAATTTCATATTAAATTGTATACTTTTTTTTTAAAATCGTATTTTGCGACAAAATAACGGGAGCGGGTTTTTTCACAAGTTCGGCCTACTGCGCTATTTAAAAGCGAAACTGGATACGCTTTATAGTTTTTGAGCAAAGGGGTTTACACAGCGAAGGCGAAGTTGAATGTTTTGTAATGTTTGTCGAAACTTTCAGTGGGGCTCACGAGCTTAACCGAACGATTTGATAGGCAGCAGCTCGGTCGTATTCTCAAATCGAGCGACGAAAGTGAAACCTAATAACACTCATTTTGCATTTCAGAACGGATAGTAAAGTCGACGAGTACTGCCAGTACGCCGAAATATATCGAGACGAAACCACGCAAACCCGCACACAAAGACAAATCGAAAAAATGGAAACAGTCACGGAAAAAAGAGAACAGCGACAGTAAAAACGAGGACGAACAGGAAATGTCGACGCTTTTCTTGCCCGAACTAGGCACTGTGTCACCTTCCATAACCTCGGTGGTCACCACCAGTCGCTCGCCCTCCGTCTGGCTGCAGCACAACAACGGAAACGACGCGACTAGAGGAAGCACTCGTTACGTCATCATAGCATTGTTTGTTTTAAAGATGTGTAACTTACGTTATCACCTTGTTTAATTGAAACTGTACATTGATATACATATGGTAGATTTCGGAAGCAACAGAATGGGATCCATTTAAATTTGTTAACTATTTCAATATACAGGATAAGCATATTTATCTAAAATGTAAAAAAATATCTTAGAAAAATGTTTTCTAGCAAACGTCTTCCTTGTATTTTATATAAGACTCTCTCTGAGTTTCATATCACCATGTCTTCCCATTTTGAAAATTTCTTTTTTTTTTCATCCCCTCGTACAGGGTCTTCAGTTTATTTAGTTACAGGATATGTATCGTATAGGGTGGTTGAAAAACACGAATTAACGTAAACAGGATCATTGGAAGACCTGTTCCAGGTAAGGTAAGTCGTTCTCTTTTATTTTTCCTGCGACTACCCTGTACCACCGCTGGCGTTGCTCTAAAATAAAAAAAAAATGTACAGGGAAACACATAACACTGGCTCATTTGTTAACACGACTGAAACACTTTACAACATATTTATTAAGAAATTTTATAATCAAATACTAGTAAACGAAATACAATTCCCATTTGTAAAATGCGATTTTTGTATGAATTTTACACAATTCATTTTTGAAAATATTTTATCTAGAAAACAAAGTGGACTGTTAACGAATACACTGAACACTCTGTGTGTATGTATCGGGCACCGAAACTTATGGAATAAATTCGGACCCATAAAATATTCATTTTAAATAAAACAACGCACATTAAAAATATTTTAACTAAAATTTCCCTTTTTTTAATACCAGCGCCGTTTGAGAAAACGAATTTATTTCATACGTATCGGAAGCACGTACAATGTATATAAAGATCCTAAAGTCATGCAGATCAAATAGTTTTATTTGTATAAAATTATACAGGATAACTGAAATGAACCACAAAACAATTTTTAACGATTTATCTGCACAAACTGTGCAGATATAACTGACGTGTTGGTGAGAAATCGTTTGGATCGGACGGATTTCCGTGCGATCCAAACGATTTATCTACTCACAACTAATTTTGCTGACATCGTTTGGTGCGCACAGTTATTTATGCTGTGGAAATGACCTAAATTGTAGCGATTTATCTGCAAATTGTTTCGTTTACACGGATATTTATACCATAAGAACGAAATAAATAGCGACTTTAAATCGCTGTGATTTATCTGCACATGTCAAACTGTGCAGATTTAATTGACGTGTGGTTGAAAAATCGTTTGGTTTATTCAAATATTTATGCCGCGAGAATGGAATAATTCGTAAAAACTTTTAACTACACAGTTACATCGTTACGATTTAACTGTGCAGATTTAAAACTGACGTGTGGTTGAGAACTCGTTTAGTTAATTCAAATATTTAGCGACTTTTAACTACTGCACAGTTAAATTGTTACGATTTATCTGCACATATTAAACTGTGCCTATTTATCTGTCATGGTTTGTCGTATTAATGAAATAAATCGTAACGACTTTGAAGTGCACAGTTAAATAGTTATGCTCTACAGGTGTCACTGACGTGGGGAAGAGGAATCGCTTGGTTCGCATAAGTATTTATGTCGTACAAACCGCTTCAATATTTAATGCGCAGTTAAATCGCGACGATCTAACTGTGCAGATATAACTAACGTGGGGATGAGAAATTGTTTGGTTAATTCAAATATTTAAGCCGCGAGAATGGAATAAGTCGTAGCAACTTTTAACTACTGCACAGTTATATCGTTACGGGTTATCTGCACATATTAAACTGTGCCTATTTATCTGTCATGGTTTGCTAAGATGTTTGCCGTGTCTATGAAATAAATCGTAACGACTTTTACCTGCACAGTTAAATCGTTATGCTCTACAGGTGTCACCGACGTGGGGAAAAGAAGTCGTTTGATTCGCATAAGTATTTTGCAGCTAAATCGCGACGATTTAACTGTGCAGATTTAACTGACGTGTGGATGAGAAATCGTTTGGTTAATCGAAATATTTAAGCCGCGAGAATAGAATAATTCGTAGCAACTGCACAGTTAAATCGTTACGGTTTATCTGTCCACATCAAACTGTGTAGAATTCCGCTGAATGTGGAATAAATTGTGGCTATTCGTAAGCGCACAGTTAAATATCTACGACTTATCTGCGTGCAGATTTATCTGGCTTGTGGAGGGGAAGTCGTTTGGGTCGTGCAATTCAAATTATTTTCAATGTTTAAAATGTCTGGCGGGGTTCAGTTCACTTATTCGGTATGAATTAACATTTTTTAACTGTACAGGGTCATTAATAGGTAATTGATAAACGGTTATTATTTCGTTAAATCGCATATGTAGTGAAAGGCGATTAATGTTGATATGTGTGACTTTTCGGTAAATATTTTGCACTTTTACCGACAGCTCTCTATTTATCAGTACAGTATTAAGCAGTGCCACAATAAAAGTTCAATTAAATTTTTTTCTTGACGATTTCGAACACATCGCACGCCACTGTTCCTGTGCGATAATAGAGGTTTAAAAGGCTAAGATTCGCAAAATTTGACAAACGGTTTGTTTGCTTTTAAGAAAATTGAGAATGTATTTTAGGTAGACAAATTAGTTTGTTTTACATGTAATACGGAACCAAAAAGGTCGACGCACCTTTTCGGGAACATCTTGGCATTATCCTAACAAAATATATTCTCAATTTATAGGGCAGGTTGCTACTTGAACCTAAAACTTTTCCATCGATGGATGATAAAGTTCTTAAGAAGATTAGAGGGCCTATACAACTTTATTTTAAAACAATGATCTCACGGCATCAACGACATCGGCAAATATATCACTTAAAAGAGTGGAAGTTTATAAAAATAAAATGGATGGAGTATCGGAGCTGAGTAAAGGGCCGTATAATATGATCTTTCAGCTTTTGTTTAATAGGAAATTTAGGGTCTAATCCCTCTTGCTGAAAGGTGAAAACCGGTTTAGTTGGGGGAGGGGCTAGATATTCTAATTATTTTAATCCAACTATAAATTTCGGGACATTGTCGCAGACTACGGGCCGATAAGATAACTTTGTGGGAATGGTTTATTATACAGGATATTGCAGAAGAGGCCTCTGTCAAATCGGATATAAAAGTTTCGATTTTAACCATCACGATATTTAAACTACGCATTATTATTGAGTATGTTATTACTAGGGCTGTCAGGACTGGGCCGCGAGACATAGGCGTACGCATCATGTCAAGCGTAATAAAATAAATTACGTAGAAAATAAACGGTAAATTAGTGCAATTTATAACAATGTAGGCAACAGTATGATAACGTGACGTGAACGTGAAAAGCATTCTTAGGCAGCGGCTCTCTCTGACAGCGCTAGTTATTACGTACGCTATACAGGGTGTCGAATAGTAAATAAGACTGTTTTTGAAAATTTAAAATTATTTGGCAAAAATTGTTGCTTTTGTCGAGTGGAGAAAATGTTGGCACTTATTTCTGGGACACCCTGTAAATGAGTCTTTATTTATTTTGTATTTATTAGCAGTGCAATATTTTCATTTTGAGATCGCTTCGGAACATCGTCGATTTTTTTTGCAAAAAAAAACGTTTCAGAAAAAAATAAACATGAAATGATGATTAATTAAATTTCATAAAAATTGTGCGTCCAAGCATGAAAAGAATTTTTAATAAGTTTTCCGAGAGGTATCCTATTTTTAAAACTTGGGAGTTTGGCCCTTTTGTCTTTATATATTATATTATTACAGCACTTTTAAATTGAAAAAAGAGATTTCTAAGAGATTTAAATTTATCCCTTCGGGAAAAGTTTAAGAATGATTTCTGCAAGTTGCCGACGCTGCGGTCAATTTTATGGGAAAAACTGCATCTGCCGTTTCGGGAGGAGGGGGTAAAATCGTCATCCATCGTAGCCCTTTGATATTGCATTGGAACACGGGGAAGTCGTACTAAGAGTTTTATATGCAGGACAATAATCCAGAGGCCGCTGAATAAACAGGGAGCTGTTTCTTTTGTTTAAAATGTATATACTAAAATAATTACTAGTGATTTTAGAAAGACAATAACATTTTTAAAGTTTACCAGGTACAAAAAATGCGCATATACGGGGTATTCTTTGAAGCTTAGCGGGACATTAATTTTTAACAATTTAGTACATATCTTTCATTTTTAGAGATTCCGGGCTAGTTTAAGTTTCACAAAATACCCCGTATACGTAACAATAATTCATGTGTGAATTTAAGGCAGATCAGAATTGTAATATCAATACTCGACGTTACTAAGGAACCATATTAAAATTATGCTTTAAGCCGTTACGATATCTTGAAAATATAATTGTTAAGATACTTAGAACTGAGTTGTATTTTACTGTAAAGTAATGAGATATCAACGTTTAAGTACCAACGCATATTAATATATTAAAAGAACAATAATTTTAATATAAAAACCTTTAATGTCTTCCGAATGAAGTAGAGGTGCAGCCAGTGGCGTACTTCGCCGAAGGCGAGGTGGGCGTATTTTACATATTAAAGTTGTAAGGTTTATGACTGGAATTAGCGGACTTTTAAAGCCTTCGCAGTAGTACGCCGCTGCTTGATTTTATTGAATTTGCTCGTTGTTTATTTAGTGTATATTCCGACATGTCCGCCGCTTGTTTGTCGTAAATTCCGTTGTTGTGTTACATTGTTGTTTGTAATGAAATTTATAATCAAAGAAATTGAACAATCATTCAACATTCATTTATTTAGTGTAGTTAAATTGTAAGCAGAACCACGCATTCTTCCCGTTTCAACGCAGCTGTTGATTTTTTTCACTTCGGCTTTTTAAATATGGAGATGTAACATACCGTGTGTTCAGTTTTCGGTGTTCGTGAAGGGGGGAGGATGCCGAGTCAAGTAATTAACAAACTGTTAAAGAAATTTGTTATGTAATTAATTGGTGTACATTATAAAAAGACATATATATCTATATCTTTACCTCACACAAGTAATTCTTGTACGTTAATGACAATAATATCATTCAATAAAGCATTTATATAAATAGCGGGCCGTCTTTCATTTCCTGGTGTACTAGAATTATTGTTAATTATTAAAAAAGTGGGTTATATTTTTTTTTTGGTGGCGCCCATGGCGGGCAACGAGCAGCAGCTGCTGCCGAATTATTATCACTTCCTATTTGAACAAAAGACTCGGTTAAATCAAGGCATGCCGTTAAAAAAATCAGGGGGCGGCGTTCGCGAGAAGTTTACTGGAATTGTAGCAGATCGATATCCGTTTGGGATAAAGGTATCTGCTTTTTTATTGACTTGACGTAGACGTTAAGAGGTTGCTCCATCTACGCGGAGCGAGTTGAACTAGGATTATACATAAATGACAAATCAATAAGGGTAAGGTGTTCTAGGTTCAGGATGGTACTCCTGGAAGGATTCTGCATTTGGCGAAGTACAGGACGCTG